TGTCCTTCGATCTCGTGCCAGATTCGTTGGTCTTTGCCCGTTGCCAATTTAGATTTGGCTTTGAAGCCCTTTTAATTTTCTATATCACATGTGTGATGGTGATGATGCAAAACATCTATGATTGGGCGAGTGCGTCTGCTGATACCTCCTTGGTGGTTGTGATCTGTGGTTTCGTATATCTTGGTCGATTCTGTTTTGTGTACTGAAGCTAGTTTTATGATTGACAGGCTTTGGGGGATTATACGAGGATGGTAGTTGATTTCTCGGTGTTTCCGGTTTCCTCGACAGAAGGTCAGGTGGGACGATATTGGTACCATGAAGATACACAGGCCTACTTCGATGATATGGACCAGTACAGGGTGATAAAGGCAATGTGCCTGCTTTCTTGTAGCGTTTGCGACAAGAATACAGATCGTCAAGGCAGTGAGAGAACAAAGAGGAGGGCCAGATTTAGGAGCATAGAGCAATTAAAGGGCCACCTCTTCCATCAGCACAAGTTGGTCATGTGCAAACTATGTTTGGAAGGAAGAAAGGTGACGTGTCATTTGCTGGTTATAACCTGAGAAGTTGCTCTCTGTTTTGATGGGTTGTTAGTGCACTAGGGCCTGAAATTACATGTAGAAAGATGAGAGTTATGCTTTATTTTTTTAACTGCTTATCTTGTTTAGATGCAAATAGTAGAGTCGTTTAATGGTGACATTTCCTTTCTATATGTTTCAGTTGAGATAGTTCTTTGAGTTTAGATTTCTAATATCTTGGTTCATGAATCTGAAAATTTGCCATCTTACCTTTCTTTATCATTTGACTACAGCTTTATTTGGATTAGATGAGGTCTGGAGGATGTGTTTTTTTATTGATGTAGAACTGTGTTGTTGCATATTCACTGGTGTGATTGGCTTTCTGCTGGTTTTTATTCATCTTAAAAGTTTATGAATTTCACTTCTAGCTATCTTACATGATTGTTGACAATTTCCTTTGAGTCATGTGGAACCAAAAATAACAGTGCAGAGACATTTAAATATAAGATTTTTATTCTCTTTGCTACAAATGTATGCCATCTTTCATGTTGTATTCCTTAATTTTAAACGTGGAGCTCCATTAGTAGGGTTGTTTGAAATGCTTGAACTGATGCTGACCCATTAGTCTTGAATTGGCTTCCATCGACATTGATCAGTAAATATCTCGTAGGATAGCTTTCAGTAATATTTCTCTATTATTCTTCTATTTTTTCTCTCTTTTCTAGTCGGATATGGTGTATACCTTCTCCAAGAACATTGTTAGTCTGTCATCATTTAACCTGAATTCAGTAAGCTACATTTAAGCATTTTTATGTTTATTAGTATAAAAAAATCATTTTATATTGGCATTGATTACCGAAGCTTGTGTCAGAGTGTTGTTGACATGATACTAGATTAGCAGATGCCTTTATTTATATGTTTTCCTGTAAGAATTATCTTATAAAATGTCTTTAGTACTTTTTAAGCCAATTTGTTACATTCAATGTAGTGCCAGTACATTTTTGTGAGATGTTCTTGAAGACACTTTGAATTCTCTTGCAGGTTTTTACTTGTGAGCAAAAGTTATACACTAGATCACAATTAAATCAACACATGAGCACAGGTGACTCAGAGGTGGATGGCAGTGAGAGTGACCGTGGTGGTTTTATGGGTCACCCAATGTGTAAGTTCTGCAGAAAACCATTCTACGGAGATCACGAACACTATATGCACATGTCGACAGTTCATTACACCTGCCATATATGTCGAAGGTGTGTTTTACTGGGAACTCCTATACGAGTTTGCTTTTACTTTGTGTAAAAATTGTCACAATGTTTTGCAGGCAGCATGCTGGACAGTATGATTATTATAGGAACTACAATGACTTGGAGGTATGTTGTGAATACCTATTTTCTTGATAATAATTTTGATGGAACACTAGATCCACTGCCAAAGTCTGAAAGCACCTATGTAAGACTTAAGGGGTCCATGCCTTTTGTTATGAAAGACAATCCTTTTGGACCTTGTTCTGTAATGGTATTGAGGATGGCCCTTGCAAAAGGTTTGGCACCTTAAGATCAGTATCTGCATGAGATCAGCATCTCTCTAATTCTTATGGCTTTTCTCATTTGTGTTCTCTTACTAAAATAATATTGTGACATCACAGATGCATTTCCGACAAGATCATTTCCTCTGTGAAAACCAGGCATGTTTGGAAAGGAAGTTTGTTTTTTTTCAAACTGAAGCAGAGATGAAGGTGTGGATGATCCTTCAATTTTTTTCTTTGTATGTTGGACACTACATGCTATCATATTTTAGTTGACAAACTCTCAAATTAATACTATGATTAATATGCATCCTTTTCTTTTTCTTCCAGAGGCATAATGTTCTTGAGCATGGGGAACACATGTCTCATTCTAAGCGGAATGCTGCACTCAGGGTAATTAATTAGTCGTCATTCTTTTGTCTCCCACAACAGTTTTTCTTTCAAAATATTTCACAATAATGTTGTTTTGCCCTTCAGAGCATCACTGATACCCTTTTCTTTACTTAGGCCTGTATTGTGTGTTATTTGATTGGTTTCTTTATTATCTGTTTTCACTTCTTACATCCAGATACCAACTAGCTTCAGATATCGGCAGAATGAACAAGAACACCGCCGAGGAAGAAGCCGTGGATTTCATTCAGATCCTTCTGTTAACCAACTATCAATGGGAACACAAGCCAACCTTGAAACTGCTTTAACTAGTGGTGGATTTCATGATTCTTCATCTAGTTCTCGTTTGAATGCTGAGCAGGGGGAGACTAGCCATGCTGATGTAGTTAGAGATTCTTCAGAAGCATCAACTTCTATTGCAGTTTCAGAAGCACCTTCAAGAACTCCATTGTCTTTGAGCCAAAGCCATACGACTACACCGATGCTAGTAGAATTCCCTCCCTTTGGTGATAGGGATTCTCGAGAGCCTTCCTATGGATATGCTCAAGCTCTTAGCCAAAGCTCTAGAAAAGCTGTCAAACTCGAGAAGGAATCATTTCCTCCGCTACCTGGTGCAACTGGTCAATCGAAACCTATTCATACGTCAGAAAGTTTTTATATGAATAGCCTCGCTGTCGGTCTCCAACGCAGCAGAGGCTCTGTCGTAACTAACTCTGCTCAGTCTAGGCCACCAGAGTATCATGGGAGATTCCCATCTTTTTCTGAGTTCAGAGTCACACCAACTAATGGTCCTACATCATCCACTTCTTCAATTTCTCAGATGGGAGCAAGGCCATCTGCCAGTTCTGCTTGTAATTCGAATACTGCTCGTGGGATGAGACAGTCAACATTGGCTCCTAACCTTGCAGAGGGACGTCTATCTGGCCATGCTGCTCCCTGCATGAATTCTGCTGTGGATGGAAAGGAAACATTGACAACAGGCAACCAATCTATTACTTCAATGGGGGATGTTTATTCCGCAAACAAGTCCTTGGTTGAAAAGATTCGTGCTGATTTAGGGATGGATGAGGGTAGATATGGTGCATTTAAAAGCATGTCATCTGAGTATCGTCGAGGTCTAATCAACACATGGGAGTATCTTTCTTATGTTGAGCAATTTGGCCTGTCACATCTTGGTGTTGAACTTGCTCGACTATGTCCTGACGCTCAGAAAGAGAAGGAATTGATTGATGCCTTCCACGCTAATATGTGGAACAAAAGTCTGCTAGAAAATGGTGGGAGCAAAGGTGGTAGGAAGGGGAAGGGAAAGGGAAAGGCTATAGTGCATGCTGAAACTCGTGCAACTAGTGCCAGGGATACTTTGGACACTGTAAGAAAAGTGGAGGATGGTTGCCGAATTGCCAAGGACAAGCTTCAATCGTCAGCTAGGGATGCTTGTGCAAATTCAAGTTCTGTTGATGTGAATTTGGCTGGAAAAAATACTGCTGGTGAAGTCGAATCTGTTAAAGACACTGCAAAGCAGAATGTGGCTGATGGAGGAAATAGCAATCAAACGTAAAAAAGGCGTCAAAGTTTCATAGAGTACGGCTGGGTGATGGTTCGGCATCTTTTTGAAATAAGGGAAATGATGGACGATAACAGTTTTTGAGCATGCATGTGGGATGAGATTGATTTTTCTGCTGCCTGAGGGTGTACAGATCTGATGCATGTCTTGCTGCTCGTCCAAGACATGTAATCGTGTGTCATCATCGAGTGCAAATTCACTTTTGGTTGTCGAAACCTTCTCACACGTACAGAGCAGTAAGGACTAGCAAAAGGTAACTTTATGAGTTTGGTGATGAGACTTTATCTCTTTTTTTTTTTTTTTGCCTTTTGTGATTACACCAATATTTCTCTTATTAATAAAGCAATTGGATGAACAGCGTATCTGATAAGTACCCAAATGTTTGTCGCTAATCGTGTCCTCTCTCGTTCATGGAGCTGTCTTTATCTGGTTGATACTTCAACATGATGGATCCTTGATTGCTGTCTTGTCTCGGCCTACTTACAGGGGGCGAGAAGCAACAACCATGTTAGATTGACAGCCTAGTTGGTTAAGCTATCACTACATGCATAGGGGTAACTACCACGCGCGCTATAATGATGATGATGATGTGATGATAATACTAATAATAAATAGTAATTTTTATGATGATGTGATCGTGCGTTAGATCGATAGCTAGAAATGTTGTAGTTAGAAAATTTAAAGCAATTAATACCAATGGCACAAAGGACGGGCTTCTTGTGATTTGGTTTTTGTGATTCTTAAACACATGAATTTGAGGCTGCCTCAAGCAGACATCCCAACTGCATTCTTGTTGACAATTCAAAGAATCTTAACGTCAGGGACCCCCCGCCGCATGAAAGATTGGAGATCACGTGACTCCCAGTATGGATTTTCCTTGTGCATATTACCACACAGCACATTTTTTCTTTTCTTTCCTTCTTTCTGAACCAAATCAACCAACTTGAATGAGTTGCTCCTTAAGTTTCAGAGAAGTCGCCTCTGATCTGCCAAGCCAAATATATGAGCTCTGTCAACCAAGTTTGTAATGTAGGAGTCTGAACAATTTACAAGCAGATCAGTTCAGCACAGACTTTAAAGGAAATCAGATTTACACAACCTGGCATCAGATTTTTGACTTGAAAATTTAAGCAAAGACTCCGAAGGCAATAGGACTCCTGCAAACCCAGATTTAAAACAAAACTGATGGATGATTCCCTAAATCATACCAACCAATAACAGCGGCTATCACAAGGTCATGATTCCCTTTTATATTATTCAGAATACTAAATGCCGGCCCTCTCAAATAAGCTCCATTCAAAGATACTACTTGCTTGTATCTGATGAAATTTGAAATCTACCAGAGAAGAAAGCCTCAATATAGAAGCTCGGAGAGAAACAAAGAAAGCTTTTCATTTTTCCTCCAATCGCTGCAAGACTGACTCTGCAAAGATTTGTTGCCTGAAAATTAAGCGTATAGTAATTTTCAGAAAGAGGAAAATAACAATTAAGAATGAAGGTACCATAAGTCTCAAACAAGACTGCACCCATCTGCACTTTTTTAAATTTCTATCCACTTCTCATTTCTACAAGAGTCACGCAGCGAAAAGCTCCAAAATATTTTGATCTATGAATAGCACATCATTTATAGATTAACCAGCAAGTGTACTCAATGTGGTTCATGTGGCAACATATGCAAATGCAATCATATGACCAATATGACTGGAAGTGTATAATGTCAGGGCAACAACTACAACTACATAAGCATTATTGCACAGATGAAATATTCAGCTTCGGATGCTACTTTCTTCTTCCTAATTGAGCATTAGTTTCCTAGTCTTTGTAATCACAAAGCATGCCTCTCGATGGTTTACCAACTTCCCAGTGGAGAATTTGATGTGCATAAAACTAGTGGAAATTTCATGCTTTAATTAGAAGGAATCTCCAACTGAGCATAGTTACTACTACCCTTGTATAATCTAAACTTCATTCATATACTTCTGATTTGATTCTTAAACACATTGTTCTTAATCTTACAATATACACTGAAGGCAAAACATTATATGCCCACATGCTGCATATGCATTCTGCCATACATGGCTAACTGTGACCTCTTACTGTGGTTATTTCTACAGTTATTTTTGGGGGCATTGCTCCAACATGAGTTTAGGCTAGAATTATTTCCTTAAAATGACTGATTCATTGGTAGCACCATAGTATATATACATGAATTTATTTATTTTATATAAATTGTCAGTTTCTTCTTAACATACAGCTAGTTATACTTTTATGCTTTGCTCAGCCAGAGACTCAATCTGTAAAGACCACACCATTAGTTTTACATGTAACAACAACTTTAAGCCAAAATCCCAATTGCTTGGGATCTGCTACATGGATTTTTTTCCCCACCACTATGCTCCATTGTTAGTGATATTGTTCATCAAATTACCAGATAAATGAAATTGAGTCACCTAGCATTACTAGGCATGGGTTGCCAAGCTGATTGGTTCAGGATGGTTCAGCCAATTTTTAGCGGCTCGACCACCAACTGATACGTAGACCAACCCAAACGAGGTGGTTCTGTCCAATTCACTATATGTATATAGTCTTTTTGTTCTTTTAACCCTGCACTATGGCTACATCGCACATGCGCGTCCTCTCCTTGCAAGTTGTCCCTGCCACCTGCTAAATTACCTCCACCATGGCCTCCTCCTCTTCCTTCATCTTTCTCTTCCTTCTTCCTTCCCACCTCTCCCTCCCTGTCACATGGGGAATGGACGGAATGCATACTGGTCTAATCATAGACCACCACAGGCCTGCTAAACGAAATTGCAAACCTTGTAACTAGGCTCCTCTGTGGCCACCATAAACAATTTTTCTTGTTTTATACTCAATTAACAGTAATCATATATGTTGATAGATACAGGCTTTTCTTATTAATATATTTTACCAATAACCCCATTCATTTTAACATTTTCATCTAAGCAATATCAAACATTTTTAGAAATACTATTTTCTAATTGATAGACATTCTAATCCATCAAGTGTCCTTAGCCTTTAAGTCATCTTATAATCTTTTTTTTTTTCAATCAAGTACAATAATACCAAGGAACTCTATTTTTCCAGATTACACCCACTAGTATTTATAGTCGGATGTGAAAGGTGAATTGCCCCTGTAGATCAGTAGCAGCCTTATAGCCTGTCTAGGAGAGATCGATAAACTTGATTCTTTTTTTAGTTTCTTTTTAATAGGAGCATTGATACCCCAAATTGACTCCTCTGTCACCTTCGTCATGCTACCTAGTGCCGATAGTCCACCAATCCACATGGCATTCTTCTCCTCTGCTGTCACCTACTCCTCCCCTTCTCTTCTTATATGCCTCTTGTTCTCATTTCTTCTTCTTCTACTCTCCTCCTCCCTCTCTCCGCCCTGCTTGTACCATAATATGTACTGGCGTATCATGTACCAGGACATCGGCATAGAGTGGACTTGTATTGATCTGACCATGAATGATTATGTCTGGTAATCGAAATGTCAAACCTGGAGTAATACTACTATACTAGAAAAGATTCTTTCCACTTCAACCTCCGACTTTCATTATATTTTAAAAATATGTTCAATCGCCTTCCCATGTTGAACAATAGATCCAAAATATAGATTACCTTTACCTTTCAAAATTTCATCCATTTAGTTCACTTGTACCTTTGACTCTTGATATTGCTAAAGTTACATTTTATATGTTCAATCCTACCCCAATAGCAGAAACCTTCATTTCAATATTTGACTCAATATGATAACTAAAGGACAGTACAGTAGAAAGTAGAAACTACATCTGATAAAGTGAAAGCATGATCATCTAAACATTAGGAAATGCAGCATGTTATACGCATCAAGACAGTTTACACAGAATCAAATGCATGGAAAGAAACTGAAGACGTCAACATATTGCATACTTCCGTTCTATAAGCTTGGGACTGGGGCGGAAGTATTTCAAATAACCATCCCAAGGGACCTTTTTAAGACCAGCCCGAACAGAGATCATGTCTCGAACCCTACATGGCATGACCATATAGAAGACAGAGCTATCAGAGCAAACTATTATCTGCTAACAACGGGGTATATTGTGAAGCATCATAGCAATTTTACCTTTCAGCAAACTCAATAGGTGTCTCTCCAGATCTTATATACTGAGGTTCCAGGTACCATACATCACAAACTACAGCCCATGATGTCATAAGCTGTACTAAGTGCATTGTAAAAGATTGTCTGCCAAACAACAGTAAGATAGCAATGAGGTACTGCAGATACAGATGAAGTATGCAATGACTTTCATGACTTAAAAGCCAATAGTCATCTGTGACCTCTAATTGTCAAAAAGAGAGAATGCATGTGAAAAATATTAGCTGACAAAATCATCATGGGCCTTATAACACTATCAAACTGACCATAATTCTCTTTAACACTAAAATTTTAATGAGAAGAAAAAGTTGATCAACATGTGCTTCCATCATCTCCCAGGAAATATTAATTTTAAAGAAAGATTGCCTTGTAAATACCTGTGTCCGACTAGAAACATATCTTACTAATGTGGTTCTTCTTCCAGCTTAAGATGATCAATTGGAAACAACTCCTATTCTACACAAATATATGTGCAGCTAAAAGATTTGCAAAGAAGAAGAAAAATTATATTATTGTTCTGGATCCTTGATGGGGATCAATTAACATTATATATGATTACTAAGAGCAATCATTTTATAATATCATATTATGGTGCTCAACTTATGTCAGAGCCACAAAACACTATGGAGATCAACTTATGATGCATAAAGTCTTCCTGCTGGCTGTGACTATCAAATGAGTTTAAATGAGAGAATAATTTAGGATTCATAATTTAGCACCAACAGGCAAAGAAAGTAGAAAATTAAAATTAAAGATGATGAAATGAGAAGATGAGGAGAGCATAGGAAAGGAGGCAGTCAAACAATAGTCTGTCAATATGCATAATCACACTAAATCCTACCTCAAAATTCCAAAATCTATAAAACGTAAAATACCAAATTATTTTTGTGTACTTGTCTTATCTACCTCAAAGTCCTCATGTAGGTGACTTATGTAATTGGGTTATTACTGAGAAAGTACTTCCAGCAAAGCTGGTTATAACAGCAATGAAAAACAATGTATAATGAAAATCACTAAATACTGTCATTGATGGTCTTTTTTGAGATATCCGATTGGTTAATGCATCTGTGTTCCACAAGTGATAGGTCTGAGGTTCAAATCCACATATGAGCATCATGAAAAAATTCTTCCAATTAAAAAAAAAATACTGGCATTGATATGCAATGTCAAGTACATTAGTTGCAATCATGAATATTCCAATGGACGTATTCTTCTACTTTCCACATCCAAATCAATATTCAGGAAGCTATGGAATGAACAGGTTTGGTCTTCAGAAAACTATAATGTGTCATAGTTGCATCATGCATGTTTCTATTGCTATAAAACAGGTTTGATTGTTCAGCTGTGATTCTTAACTCACCACTAAAACTCTTACTATAGTTTTCAAGAGCAGGTAAATGGACCAATTTGAAACTTAAAAGTGATTAATCAATGATCAGGTCTGAAGAATTCCCTCAAAGATTGTCAACAAACAATTTATTGTTAAATGCAATTTGAGAATTTAATTATTTGTAAATATGATGATTTATATTAATCTCAAGTTCAATAGGCCTGAAATTATATAATTTGATATTTCATCTGCAGTTCTAGGCTTGAAAAATAGGTCAACTCCAATCTGGTCGATATCTCAGTCGGATAATCTAGAGCAGTATTGGTCATGTTTCCTTACTATACATTAAATATCAATTTAAAATAAGATGAATGGACAATTCGACAAAGGATCAGCTAGGATTTCCAATTGTATACTTATTGACAAAACAACTATGTGCTCACAAGAAAAATTTACAAGACTTCCTGAACCCTCTTGAGTCTCATTACCACGTGATCATGGATTCTAAATTCCCACTGTCTATCAGAGGTAATACCAGCAATTCATCTACCAGCCTGTAAGCAACCCCCATATGGTGTTAACTTCTAACCAGTTATTAGGACGATCAAATTAATGACTGCAGATGCTAAGATAGCAATCAGGTTTGTGATAGTTATAATTTGTTTGATTTGTCAACTTTAATAGTTTCAAGATGAAACTTTGATGCTTCATAAGTTCTCAATTCCATCAAACTACCTTACGACAGCAAATAGAAAACCTGTGAAAGTAGTAGAAAATAGTAACGCATAACTATGCAGCCAATCCAACAATATCAATCTAGTCATATACTCACACTTATTTTGGCAATACTTTGCAAGTTTGTCATGGAAGTCTATGTTTACTGCTAGCAACAGAAAGGTCCATTAACTTACAAACAACTTATTGGAGTCTTAGGGTAATTTGGTCCTTAGGCATGTTGGGAAAGTAGATCCACTTGTCAAGGCTTCTTTCTACCATGGTTTGCATTACTGGTCTGTACCAGTGTACCGATCAGCTATCGGTATAATACATACCAAGTTGTACTGAATTGTACTGAACATACCAACACATAGTATATTAAGGATCACCGATGTACCACCCATACCAATCCTCTATCGGACCAATACGTACCACTCATACTAAGCAGTATGCTTCGATACGTCAAACCTTGCTTTCTACAACAAACCCGCTTGAGCTTGATAGTTCCCTTGAAGGTTCTTTCACTAACAGAGCTACGACGTAGAGCTACACATAAGTGGGGAAAGTGTGAAGTAAACCCTCACTAAGAATTCAATGAAAGTTGACCAGAGACAAAAGGGAAGCTATGTGTGTCTTAACTCTATTCCATTCTTCAGCGAGGTCTGAATTCACCCTTGCTAGTTAGCAAGCTCCAAACACCAATTATAGCAGGGACAGCATAGAGTAACGGGAAGACAGCAAGCACCAATTATAGCATCAACTGCTTCTATGGATATAAGACCAAGAAAAGATACTTAAGGAGCTTCTTTCAATGTTACACTTGATAGGAGACTTGATACTTGACTGAGAAGTAATATAGTTGCGCTTAAGGGTCAGTTCCATTTCAATTGAGCTCTGTGCAAAATCCTGCATTCCAGGCAATTCAACTCAGGATTCAACAAGAGAAGCTGCAAGTGCTGCAAGTGGTTCTGTTTGAGTTTCATTCGTATTGGCAACGAGCGGGTCTTCAAGTGAATGAGTTTCATTTGTCTTTGTTGGCATAGGGAGAGGGAACTCACTTATGCTTATTCGAGTTCTTTGAAGGAAATGTTGTACATTAGCTTAAATAGTATAAGTCAGAAGTAAGTCCTGTGTTCATGGTGTTAGCAAGTAAAGTGTTCTTATGGGTTAGTACAATAGCTGTTGAAAGGAAGTCAGCAGTGCCAAAGGAAGCAGCATAAGCAGTTTCAAGATAAGGATTTGTATCATGCAAGTGGGTCTGCAAATGAAAGTGGAGTTTGAGTTCGATAAATTTTCACTGTTTTTATACAATATTAGATGCTCATTTATTTCCCATAAGAGTATATTGGCAATTGAAAGGCCATGAGATATGATAAACCTAGAGTCATATCTCTTCTGTCATTCCTTTTCCCATCCATAATCTCCTACTATTCTCTTAACTCAGTACATTTTTAGTTATGCCATTATCCTAATCTTCTACTAAAAATATTTTTGCTAAAAAGCTCTTCCAGTCACATCTTCATAAACTTTCATTTTATTTGTATAGCTAATCTGACTTGAGAAACATATAAAATTATAATATTAATTATTATGCATCCCCTCTCATATTAGTTCTTATCAATATTATTCTATAGTCAGTGTTTTTAACCACTAGATTATATTCTTCTAAATTTATCAAAAACTTCTAAAATGTTTGTTTTTTGTTATGTTCAAAATTCACAATGGGACAATTAAATCAAATATATTTTTATTAACCCATTTTGTTCCTTTAGCACAAATTATGTTATTCTCCTTCCAATTATCATATCAACTAAATAAGTCAGTTCCGAAAGTGATATGATATTCCCAATTACAAGTTTAAGAATAATTCTCACCACTACCTTGCACGCACCAATTCATACACACTGCATGAACTATCGTTAGACCGCCACCTATTAAGTGTCAAGGAAGCATGTAAATTTCAGGAGACATCCTGGTCCATTGTACTCTGGAAATATGCAGGTGTTTGTCAATACATCAAGTCAAAAAAGTAGTGAATATTCCAATGTAAATTTGATAAAGGTCCACCTTCACATTTATTTTGACCATATATCACCAACCAAAAAAAGTTATCCAAAGTCAACTTAGAGAATTGAAATCATGTCATCCACCATAGCTGTGAGCAAGAATTATAGTTTTAGGGCTTATTTTGAGTTGATTTAAACCTAAAAGAGATGAACATTATGCACAGGCGAGAGACTTATATTATCCACGTGATAATGGCCCATAAACAGAGACCAGCAACTATATTATCAAATCACTCAGTCCAGTATTTCATTGGTAATATGATAAAATTTTGCTCCAATGAAATGCATTCAGTTGGGCCAGTAAGCCCATGCAAAAGAATAATGAAGTTCAGGAATTCTCCATTAGCCACACTTACATGAGTTAATATATGTGCTAAGACATTCAAGAAAACAAGGAATCTCAACCATAAAGTCATCTCTTTTGGGATTTTTGAGAAAGGTGGAAATTATTTATACTTCTTTCTACTTTGTTGAAGTTTTCATGCATTGTCTTCAATCATGGAAATAGGCTGAAATATGTTGATACATTGTAGTGCCATGTATTGCTTTCTTTTTACTGACAATCAGAACCAAATCTCATGATGTGATAATGAACTATTCTTTCACTGTGCTAAAATCTTGATTGGATGTCTGAAAATAGAAATTTTATTTTATTCCTGACAAGCTAAACTTTCAAGTAAATTAGTTATTATTAGTTTACAAATAAGGTCCAAGACATAGTTTGATGATGTAGACATGGTCTATCCTACAATATCATGCATTCTTTCGCTTTAGTGAATGCAAAGTTCTTGGTTCAATAAAAAAGCTAATGAGGTCACACCTAGGTCCTAACTCATTAGAGATTGTTGCAAACTAATGCTTAACATTTGCAACTTAATTTCTATATTATCATTTCACATACTTTAGTGTTTCTATTTCAACAACGACTGAAACAACCAATGCTTGGTGCCATCCATGATTTTCAAACATGTGATGCCTCATCTAAGTGTTGTCACCAGTAAGGTACTTACTTTTTACTGTTCCAGAAAGCATCCACAAAAATCTTGTTGTACTTGATTGCTACAGGGCAAACAGCACAACCAAGTTCAAAAGCACCCTGCATATATTACAAAGAAAGGTGAGCATCTCTAAAATTAAATTCATAAATAAGATTGTCTGTAAGATGAAGATAAAAAAAAAACGTATGCTTGGCACAACAAATCAGTAGATTACATCAATGTGGCATCCATATTGAAGCTACCAGTAAACAGATGTTGCTCAGATAAACTGAAAAGAACACTCAAATGCTAAGGAATGGTTATGCTTAATTAGTGAACACTGTTGTTCCAGACTATGGTTTACCAACACAATCTAACATTGCAACATTGACTACCTTTCTAAAGAGCTTATCAGTTGGTTTGGAAAGCCAACATTCTAAAACTGATTTAATCTTAAATATCAAGTAGTATATCTCTTACTGAATAAAATGACTACCGAAGTTCTGATGACAGTAAATATAATATTCTACTATACATGGAATAGATTATTCATAACTACACCAGCAACTTATCCACATAATGCTCACTGCTCCTCCATTCTCTTTAAAACTGCTAAGTTGCACATCCAAATAACAAACACATTGATCCACAGAAAAGATTATGTAAAATCAAGTCCATCTTGGAGCATAATGGATTCACATGCAGGTTTGCCATACTATGACTTATCACCTAGTATGAGCGATACATATTGGTCCAACAAAGAAATGGTATGGGGGTACATACCAGTTTGTTAGTATGCCCCCACCATACTATCTGTTGGTACACAGTATAATTCCGTATGTACCATATCAATAGCCGATCAGTACACCGATATGAATAGTAAGGCGAACCATGCTGTACATAGTGGACAACGAGAAAAATTCAAGATATATGGTCCTAATATTGAAGGAAACTGCAAATTGTTTAAACTCAATTTTCTGTTCACTTGCAAATTTTGCAATTAGTCCATTATGCCTAAATATCTGAATCACAGATCAATTCTAACCCTGAATCCCACTGGCCAAAATACATTCATTATATATGTCCTAGTGTTGTCAAAAGTGTGCTATAATGCAGTAAGACATGGGGCTTCCTGAGGCTGTCAGCTATGAGAAATCAGCTCCATCAAGGGTATTAGGAGGCATGCCCTAATGCAATTTGTGAGCTTCTTAAAAAAGCCAAATCCCTAAAAGGTTGTCCTCACTTACTAGTTATGCTATTTTTGAAATGGTCAAGAATACCATTTTTTAAGAAGACGAAAGGGGCCAACCAAAAGAGAAGTTTTCACTACATTGAAAAGTTAAAACACAAAGGATAAAACAACTAGGTTTTCACATTTCAGATCATCATTCTCTTCTGTTTCTTTTCTTTCTTCCTTTATATTTTTGTTTTCTCCAATTTTGTATTATTGTTTGTTTTCTTTCTCACTTGCTTCCATACACATCTTCTTTTTAATTTTGTGTTATATTTAAATTTATATTCCATGAGTAGGAGAATTTGCTCTCTGGTACTGACCATCAAACTACACTGCAGCAACCCATAGTAGGAGGTTTGGATCTTCTAGAGAAATGGTTCTTGTTTGAAAAAATCTTGAAAATATGGTTTACAATTCATTTCAAATTTATGAAATCAAACTGTATATTATATATGTTGCATTTTTTATGCATTATATCTTGCTTTATATTTATAGTATCAAGTTTTCATGTCCCATCTTTTTTCCCCAATTTTCTCCACTCATTTCCCAAACCTAAACTCAAACTTCCTTGCTTGGGCTTCTTTAGTAAACTGGGGTAAGTTGGAAGAGAAAGCTACTTAAGCTTATAAGTGGTAGTGCTAGCAGATGTGGTGGCAGCCATAGTTCATAAGATGGGTATGAAGCTTAACACTGATGATGCATTTAATCAAAGAACTAACATTGGAGGTATTGGGTTTCTTTTGTGTACTAGTGATGCTTTTTGTCTATCGGCAAGTTGCAAAATGGATGGAGGGTGAAAGTTGCCAATACAATGAGCTGAAGGCAATCCAAGAGGGAGTTGTTTATGCGTTGAAGGAAGGAATCCGACTGCTGGAGATTGAAACTGACACTGTCACTTTGGTCAAGATCCTAAAGGAGGAATCACCACCATGGTGTCTTGTCAACTGTGTAAGGAACACTTATTATCTTTTTGAGAAGTTTCAGGCTGTAAAAATTGCTCATATAGCTAGGGAAGGGAATAGATGTGCACATTGGTTGGCTGCACATGCAAAAGCATCTAAATATGATCAACTCCCAGTAGGTGACTGCCATCCTGAGTTAGCAGACCTTTTGTGCTCTGATAAGCAAGGTATTGTAGGTGTTAGGTTTCTGAATTAATACATATTTTTTTTCTTGGAAAAAAAGGTGGGTATAGATATTAAGATTAGTATTGTCTAGGTCGTGACTAAGATTAGCAGGGTCATCAGATTGTATTGGCAGAATCAAAAACGGCAAAGCAAATATTAAAAATTAAAGAAATTGGGTAAATTTTACAAGATTGTAAAAACATATTAAATAAGATTTGAGAAAATGAAAACATTATATACTAAAATATTCTTATCCTATTTTCTTATATCTATCTTGTCTAAAAGTTTATTAAGATTGGTATTGTCTAGGCCATGACTGAGATGGGTCGTCAGATTGTCTTGGCAGGATCAAAATCAGCGAAGCAAATATTAACAATTTAAAAAATCTGGTAAATTTTACAAAATTGCAAAAACATATTAAATAAGATTTGAGAAAATGAAAACATTATATACTAAAATATTCTTATCCTAATTTTTTATATCTATCTTATCTAAAAATTTATAACTGAAATACAAAATACAAACAAGGCTGAAAAATGGCTATGAAATTTAATATAGAATAATTCATTAACAACAAAATAATAATAATCATATTGTACAAAATAGGACACATTGCAGCTCCATCTCCTGTAACAAGAGATCCTACAAAATATTCTTATAGTAACAAATATTCTAGTATTAATAACTAAATATACATCCTACAGAAGATATAAAACTTAGCAACAAAGACACCCCATTGTAGCCCCATCTTCTCTATCAATTATCTGAAGAGTAGGGTATTGCAAACAAACAAACAAAAATATTTGGGATAGATTTCGATTACTCAGGGTGTAAAGAACTATTCTTTGTGCACATTCCTCTCTACTATACCTTTTTCTTTTTGTTTTACATGATGGTATGGTAGCTGGCCAATGTGACAGCCACAGTAGTAAGCAAATAATGACAGTGTCTCCTCTTCTATTTCATAGTTATAGTCATAAATTCTTTTTTCCTCCATGTCACTTTCCCCTCATCCATTCATTCCTACTCCCATCTTCTCATTCTTCTTTTAAAACTGTGAAATTGGCTAAAATTAGCAAATGAGACCAATACAAATTGGGTTAGAATGATTATAGTCATTTCCTCATAATATACAACTATATGGTTAAGAAATTAAATGGAAATTGGATCAGCCTTGAATGATTCAAGTACAAATAAGATGAATCATATCAGAATTAGCCAATACTGTAAACTATGGTGGCACCATGCCAGCCCGACATCAGACAGTAGACGGTAAGAATGGAGCTAGGTTAGTAGGTTTGTCCTATCTCTTCTTCTGTTTATGTTTGTTGTTTTGATCCAATCCCCTGCCCTCATTCCCTCAAAGCCCCATCCGCCAAAGATTGGTTAGCTGGTGTAACCACCCGATCCAAGAGGTTCGGTTATGGGTCAAGAGTTTACTGAGCCAAATGTTCAATTTGGTTGACAAGATGGTTCATGATTTAGTTACAAAAATCATGATCAAGCCTATTTAGAACCTCTTTCTGGAATCATGGGTACAACAAATTTAAAGGCAGCACATATAACAGAAAAGTACAGTGAATACTGGAATAGAAACTATAATTTAAAAGTGATGTGTATATACTGCCACAGAAAATATAATTATCTTCTTTGGGACCGAAAATGAACATGACAAACCTGAGCTTGTATGAGAATATAGGTGTTTTGGCTACTCATCAACATCCAACATGAAAGGGCATAAATGTTTGCATTATAAATGGAAACTTGTCTTTTGCTTGTTGTATATCTAAACTAATCCAGTAATAGTATCTCAGCAAGAAGTCATCATATTCATCTAAGCATAATGATAATAGGAATTGTTGGGTATGGACCTTCTTGAACATAACAGTGTAATGATTGTTTACACAAGTTCCTTCAGGAAATATCAGAACAGGATTCTTGTCAACTCCTTGTGTATGTTCTCTTAACCTAGAAACCCAGATAAAAGACATCAAGACTATGGCTACAAACAGTAAAGAAAGATCGAACTTTATATCAAAAGAAGGCAACTATTACTTTCTGGCAACAATTTCACGGTCCTTGGATTCTGTACGGTTAAACCAAATACAGCCTACACTTTCTAAAATGGTCTTCTGGATAAATCCTACAGCATAAAATAAAGCATTTGATGTTAATCAGAGAACCAGTAAGGAAAATTGAAAGAATCTACTTAAGGAATCCATAATTAGATAAATGTAGGCTCTTACCAACCCAACCAGGATGTTTTTGCATGATAACAGCAAATGCTGTCATTTGTTCTAAGATGATGAAGTCAATCATAGAAGTGTGGTTGGCAACAAATACCTGTTAAATGATTTTTTCTTAATCTCAGAGAAAATTAAGATCAAGTAGCTATCATATCTAAGATCTGTATGAATATCGAGAACCTGTTGAGGTCGTATGCTGGGACGAGGACCATGGTATTTGATCACTCCTGTCCATGAGGCAACAAACACACTGCATATCATCTCAACCAGTTTCCTCTGCATACAATTAATAAAGCACAATACAGATATTAGAATATATCCCTATGACCACTATACTCATAAAGCTAAAAAATAAAATAAAATAACCAGTGAACCTTTATCAAGCCTGAAGGTTGATATCTGATTATTAAAACATCTTTATCAGAGTACCATTTCTTGGCTGTTATTGTTAAACATTATATTAAATGGCACGGAAACTGAAGTGGTTGGAGTCCCTAAAATTTGGTCATTTAGGCACACTTACAAGATCTGACTCATTTAAGCCAAAACGTGTTGAATCAAAATGACCTGCCCCTGCAAAACAGATCTGAAGTTGCAAGTCTTCTCATGTAACCGCTCAAAAAGTCACACGTTAAAAATTGAGGGAACAGGCCTTGAGCTCCCTCACATGGGAGCTTTAGGGCAGCAACATTGAGGAGAAGCAAGAGAAGGAAACTAGATATGGTCCCCAATCTATTTCCTTAACTCTATTTTGGCCTTTCTTATGTTGTTTATTCTTCATAGCCAATACACTACCTGGACCATTGCACTGAATATTCCTGGGTGGTGGCATGTACAAGGTCCTCATATTGGGATTGAAATACTTAACCAAATATGAAATCCCCATTGCAATAACAGGAAAATCCCTAACTAGAAAAAAGAAAATAACTAAAAAATCATAATGAAGTTCAAGATGTTGGCAAACTCAATGGAAAATCCAGGCTAGGCTAGAATAAACTTTTTTCAACAATGCCTAGACTTAAAAAGGAAAATAAAAGTGAACCACCAGAACTTGAGAGAGACCAATAGTAGAAAGATGAAAATGGCATGAAATTCAACCTTTGCATCCAAGGGAAAACTAAGAGCTAAAGAGTCAATGTTGTTACTCCAATCTAGTAACTATTTGATGTCTACATGATGCTTGCTAGGGAACTCCATCGACATGTACTAGTATGGGGGTGAATGATCGACCCATTTCATTGGTCCAGTCTAATCCATATATAATAAAAAAGAACTATAACCTTAATGGCTTAATCACAAGTCACGAGCCCTCGACACCCACTGCCTATCGCGCGCTCCTACCTCTTAATCAGCAAGGAACTTTCCTGCTATTGTCCGCTGCCACCCACCGTGCATGCTCTTCTTCTCCTACTCCTCTTCTTCCTCCACTGCCTCCTCTTCTTTCTTCCTCTTCGTCCTCCTTTCTCTGCCCCCTTCTTCCTTTCAATCCCTTATTTTTCCTCCTCTTCCTCTGTTGCCTCCTCTTCATCCTCCTTTCTCTTCTCCCTTCTTATTCCTTCCTCTTCTCCTTCTTCTTCCTCTTTAATTCTTTGGTACAAATTGGTGTACCATGTGTTGGTATGTACCAAGTCCAATGAGGGCAATCATTGATACTTACTCTCATCAAGTTTTAATTTAAAGTTTTTTTTCGTTTGTGCGAGTACCATTGGTATTTTTCTGTTGTTTACGCATATCTAACTACTTGTTCCATATTACATCTTAACCACCTCGTATTTAATCAGTGTACTCATCATACACAACTAAAAACAACTAATGAAAATGAGAACGTAAACATGTTGACCTTACCTATAAGTCTCACTACATCTACGAAACACATCCTATTATTCATCAACAAAAACAATGCAAGAACAATCATGTCCAATGTTCTCCTTGAAAATCATTAGTTTATGGTAGTGAGACCTACTAGGACCACTTTAACGGAAGAAAATAATGAACTTTTTATATTGCAGAACTTTCCAAATGATTCATTCAAATAGCTGAGCAGTCACCCTTGTTCATCTCACAATCTTGTCAATTAATTAATTGGTCATTTTGCCTTGCAAAATGCCAGTTGAGTTGTCAATTGTATCAAAGTCATAATCATTAACTTTATTATGTGATCCCAGCTCATTCTTTTCCACACTAGGCAAGCAAGAATTGTGCATAAGTCAAATATCAAAATATCAGATAAGCAATTACTATAGAACATTTTAACTACACCATCAAGAAGATAATAATTGAAAGAGAAAGAGAGAACTTTAATTGGAAACTCATGAAATTGAAAGTGCAAAATTAATTATTCAACTTTTAGCTTTGCGGAGCATTTGAAGATGGATCTTGAAAACATACAAGGCATGATAGGCAATGTCATGAAATTAACTAAAACCAACCATCAACAAGAAGAAATTAAAATTAAAATCTACAGTAGAAGATCAAATTGCCAAATTACTACAATAGACTACTAGAAGATATTTACCTCTACTTTTTGCCGCAACTTATTATGATCTCCTAAAAGGAAATGCACCGGCAAAAAGGCTGAGAAAAATACTATCCATCCTGCAGCCAAGATTGTAACTCTACAACAAACATGTAGAGAAAGAGAGAGTCAAAAAAGCTCCTTATATATCAGAATCTATCACCGAATAAACTGAAAGTAAAGCTGCAGAAGAGGGCCTAATTCATTACAATATAAATGCATTGCACCATAAATTTTTAGAATTGACGACTTCAAAGTTCGAATAGCTACATATAGAAAGTCTTTAGAGATAATCAAAAATTTTCTCTCAAGGAGCAGAAGAGAACAAGAAAAGTAAACCTTGTTCAAAGAAGATGCAATTCATTAATTCAAAGCAAGATATTTAACAAGTTGCATGAGGTAAAAGCAACAATACTGAATGCTACACTAACCCTACCACCTAGAGAAATTAAGTGTTATACTTAATGCACCTTGAATAGTGTCAGTTTAAGATGAAAAGCATTTCTCATTGTGTTGGTTTTTTCATATTAAGATTAGGCCCTTCTCAACAGAAGTTCTTGCTGGCACAGCAGAAGTAACAACTTGAAAAGTCTTTACTGCCATCACTCTTTTGCTTATTCATTGCTTTGACTCAAAAAAATTAGAACCAGTCATTGCTAAATGAGTTAGTGATCCTAAATCTAGGTACATTGTCAACATAGAGTCATCATCATAATAGGGTTTGCTATCATCATATTCAGATGTAAATAAAGGTTTAGATTGCATTCAAGTGGTCCAAGTGATTGCAGGCAATGAACCATCAAATGTTTAGTTTTGGACATATCAAATGTTTTTCCTTTTCATTTTATCATAATCCCTTTTTCATCTTTTTCATACATGTAATAATCAATGAAAATAATATGTTATAGAGTCATAACATGATTAGCTACATAAAATATAAATATTCTAAAAATAACAGATAACACAAGTAGAATTCATATATGTGTATAATACAATATTATATAATAGAAAATAAAAACCAGAACTCATGAGATCACTATTTCCTAATATAAATCATGTCATAAGTTCCATATCTTATTTTCTATTGCTCTCTCTTTCTTTTTTGTATTTTATAATTATTTTTTTTATTTTTGATTCTGAAACTATTTTCTGGGCCAGCCAATGCTTGTCATATTGCCAACTGCCAACCCCAAACTTTCAAATCTTGGTCATCATCAGTCAATTCTGATCAATCATCTTTTGCATTATTTTCATAAAACGGATAGGTTCTAGTTTTATAATTCTCAATTTCTTCAGATGATACAGTGACCTGTAGATGACCATGTCACACACTGATATTTTGATATTTTGATACTTTAATATGGTACAATGTGAATGATGTTATATTTTGCTTTTTGATATTTAATCCACTTTACATAAACCTATATGTACACAAAACTTGTGTGACCTATATGAATATTTGGCATTTGGTATGTTAATAGTAAATTAATCACCTCTTTTATAATATATACTATGTATTTGTATTAGTGGTCCATTTTGCACTATTTGTAACATCAATAGAGAATAGCAAGATCTAAAACAAAGAGACTTTCTCAAGTAAGTTACAAAGACATTTAGATATAAAGTAAAGAAATAAATAAATCAAGTTCTAAATTCAAATATTCTCTTAAAGCAGCTAGATAAACTATTTACATCTATCACTGACTACTATTTAAAAAGATAAAGTAATTCACACCTTAATGGAAAAAGAATCCCATATCTAATAACTACTCCCAAGCACCATAGAGGGAACAAATAGACATTCCAATTCCAGGGTTCTGGAGGATTTGATTTAAAGCAGCGGGTGAAGGAGTCCTGTGCCCCAGAAAATGAATTTTGTTAGAGAACATAAAGTAAGTCACAGCGGAAAGATGGGTCAAATATTACATAAAGGATACATTTTAAGTCAATAAATCCAGCTATTATCATGAGGAAGAAAAGTCTCAACAATAAACTTTGTATAAAGAATAAAACTCCATCATAAAAAAATGGCATAGTCAAATCTATGTGAATGTCAATTCCTTTGGTGGACAATGTATGACAACAAAGAGGAAATTATGTCACAATAAAGGAAAATTTTATCCACAAAATTTAAATAACATGCTATTTTGTCCTTGTAAAATTTCCCAATAGAATTTCAGTATGCATTTAGGTTTAACCAGGGTATCAAGCTCTCAATTTTCTTTACCAAGCAAACCGTATAATCAGACAACAACAAGTTATTCTAAGTCAAGTGGTAGCCCCAAATTTAAATATAATAGCATAAGAAGATTATCCGACTATGTCTCTAAATGTTCTTTTCTCCTCTAGCCTAAGAAAGAAATCAAGACTCAACCTTGCAACCCAACACTCAATATTGAATATTTGAACTTCAAAGAACATCCTAATTTGTAAGATTCAGATGACTGAATGAAAGAGATAGCATTAGCTCTTGAGGATCATGCATGATTGGTGACTCTTTTCCACCATCAGTTTATACTCTTCCAATATATTATATGTCTAGTTTCCCTAATGATACTAGACAAAGAAAATAAAAGGATTTTTGGGGAAAAAAGGAAACAAACATTAAATGGAACAAGCTGAGACTAAAGGCTCCAACAACACACTTTCTCCAGGAAGATGAAGGATAGAGTATACTTCTTCCGATACTATTATTTCATGATTACCCATCCATAACTACATGTTTATGGAGGCATCACAAAGCTATTTTTGAAGAATGAACAGAAGTTTTTCTTCCGAAGAACCAAACGAATTGCTCTATATTTATAGAGTATTGAAATATACATCAGCTCTTTAGGGTTATTTTAACCTAATCTGATCCTAATTCCTCAAGTCCAGCTCTAAGAAGAGGTATTTGAAAATTACGTCACCAATTAGTTTCATGATGACCACCAAATCCCGTTAATCCCTCTTTCGTTACAAACACTCAAATCAACACAACAGATGTTAAATAGAGAGTTAGATATATCTATACAGATAGAGAAAGGCGAACTCACATCAACAATGGCACCGGCAGCTTCTTTAAGCGTAGGGGAAATGTCGAGAAGGTCCCTCCTGAACAAAATACAATTAGGGCTCGATCAAGAATTATAGCTCGTAAAAATCCGAAAAAATGAAACCAAGAAACAAAGGAAGGGAAACCAAGAATACATACAAATGGAGCTTCCTGGGGGACTCCCGGATCGATTCCACGGTGAGGTACTCCTCGATGTTGAGGCGGTCGAGATCCATCTCCGAGCTTGAGGAACCCAACCCAGCCATGGCTATTCCACCTCTGCAAACGACGACCAACCCTTTAGTCTTTATAACCCACACGTATTATTCATATATATATAAGGTTTTTATATATCTCAAAACAAAAGATGAGAAATACTTATTTTTCACACCGTATCAAATTTAGATCTATATATCTTAAAAATATCATAATATTTATATTTTCATATATCGAAAGAATACATATAAAATATTATATAGTCATAATTTTTTAATATACTTATAGACTTTATTTATTAAAAAAAATTATAATTCTATTCAAAAAAATTATAACCAAACTTGTTAAAGGTTTTAAAGTTTCATAAAGTGATTTGTAAATCATGAAGATTTTGACATATTTCAAAATAAAAGACAACAACTCCTCTTTTTCCCCATTAAGCCTTAAATTTATGTTTATATATTTCGAAAAGTCTTATAATTCTTTGGTTTGATTTTTGTTGGAGAATACAATAAAAGAAAAAAATATGAACATCACCCGGTTGTAGTGTTTTTTCCCCATATTTATTATTTAAAAGTATAGTAATTGGTTCGATTAAACATTGGACCAATGTGGCTAAAGAACCAACCTAACCCAATTAAGTTTCATGTTTCTGTTCATTTTATTGTAGAAAAATGATAATAAAAAATGAACATTATCCGGTAATAGTTTTTTTGTCCCTATTTAAAAGCATTGTAACCAGTTTGATTAAACACTGGGCCAATTTAGTTAAAGAAACAATCTAATCCAATTAAATTTTGTCACTGATGGCTATAAAACAATTTTGTCATTTGAAATCCCTGTAGGGAATATGGGAAAGGAGATATGATCTCAAGAAAAAATATAAATTCTATATATCTCCAATTTTTATCCCCATAAAATTAAAATTAGGATACAAAACCCACAAGTTTGCGAGTATCTCATTGGATTTACTATTTATTGATTGACTCATTTGATTGTTTTTGTAAATACTATTTCAATTATAATCATGAGTAAAATTTATAAGACAATATTTACAGTTCAACTCAAAAAACTCTAATTTTACATATTGTTAACTTTAAAATTTAAGTCTAACATATATCCCAATAAAAGTTTTTAAAATGTTATAGATATATCATTACAGTTAATTTAAAATAATTGTTACAAAAGTGATATGTGTCTGATTAGAGTCCATAACTATGTTATACATTTAAAAAATAAAATAATTGCTCAAAGGAATAAATATATTTTTATGTTTAAAATGTTTATATTTTTAAGTTTAGTTAATCATTGATATTAAAATTATATTATATGAGCAATATGCAAACATATGTTAGCTAGGAAAGATCTGTACTAAAAAGATATGCATAAAATACTATAATTTGAAGGGAAATATACGCTATTTTTGAAACTCGTGAGATCATATTCCTTTTATTTTTCATGATTTTATGTTATATATATAATATTTAAGTCAAGAGTAATAGATTACTTTTTAGGTTATCCTCTCCATGACTAAGTTTCCAATGAAAACACAACTGAAACTTTCGATAGAACACCTCAATCGATCCTAATACATTAGATATGTTCCATAATAACAAATAATTTTTGTAATTTCTATTAAAATTATACCGAACTATTCATGAATATACCTAATTTTTATTATATTTTTTTAGTAACCCCATGCATTCATATTAACATTCTGATCTATTTAATACAAATTTTTCATGCATATGATTTTTAGCCATTTAATATATTGTCTCAATGTATATCCCATCTTTGTAATTATCTTCTTTCTTTTTTTTTGCTGTTGTTGATAGTAAATAAAAAAAATTATGATGGTATTTTTGGGTTGAGATGAGAGTTTCATTAAAAATAATAATTTATAAAAGAAATATTTATTTGTTTCCAAATGATGCTCCTGAATTACCATGAGGTGATTTTTTCTTTGTAAATGGTAAAAAAATCTATGAATTTGATGAGGGTTTTGAAGAACCGATTGAAATGGAAACGATTTAATTTCAAGCAATTCAATTAAAACATCATTGAAGGCCTTTATTATGTTATATACTATATATGAGTGTAACCCTGGAGCCCTATTGGATGTAACACCTAATGAAGCATTGAAGTCTTTCCAGTCAAATCGCGTTGGGGAAACCTCTGTTGGGTTATACTTCTCTCTAGTTTCATTGGAAACTCCAGTAAAATCCAAGACCCTATAGCAATTGTTACATCTTAAAATTTTCTTTTCACATAATTATAATATCTTTCCATAGATACACTAAGAGTCAAATAAATATTATTTTTATTATTATATATAAATTATAAATATTATTATAATTTATTTATTTATTTAGAAACATATTAATGTCAACTCAAAAATAAAATCCAATTAGCTCTACTTAGCATTAACGGTAAAGGAAAGTTTGATCTTCAACGGTGAGTAGGAGATTAACTGTAAAATAAATATTTATTCAAAAATCAATCATCTCATTAACATATATCAAAAAGTGGAAAGAACACTCCCCGTGGATGAAAATACTCTATCTTATACGATGAGTTTATATTCTTTTAGTAATAAATGAAAACAAATTCAAATCATACACTCAACAATAAATAGAGTGGTATTCTTTATCCACCAAGGTAGGAATATGTTACTCCTAATATTGGATGGAGTAACCATCTAGCCACCAAGTCTAACAACTCATTAATCCCCAAAGAAAATTATCTTACTTGCCCTCGACAAAAAAAATAAAATCATCTCATATCCGATTAAAAAAATAAAATATCTCAATTTATTAAGTATCATTAATATCAATTAACTTGAATCCTAACTCAATTAGTCTAATTAAATTTAATTTAATTAAAATCTAATTGAACTAGTCTATGATCCTCATTTAACCGATCTTGATCTACCCTAGACTAGTATAATTTAAAATAGATTGAGTTCAATTTAAGTTAAATAAATTTAAATAAGTTAAATCGATTCAGAATCACTTTAAATTGATTAAATTTGATTTGATTCAATAAATGTTTGGACCCAAATCAAATAAAAGTAAGAGCAATAGACTAAATTACATAGCACCAAATTAGGTGGGGCTACCCATAGATTGATAAGGCTAGGCTAGCCAATAGCCCATGTGGACTAAAGCTTGATATATATTGGGTTAGGCTAAGCTAGCTTGTGGACTAAAGCTTGATATATTGGTTGGGCCTAGTCAATGGTATATATATATATATATATATATATATATATATATATATAGTTGATAACTAAAGAGATAACTCAAGGATCTAGGCCAGAATTCCTCTAAGCAGAGAAAAGTTCTATTAGATTTACTAATCAACTTTGTATTTCAAAAGTCATCTAGTAAAAATATAACTATTAGTGAAGGTATACAAATTAAGATTTAATATATATTCTAAGACTGCCAATATGTATCGAGATTTATGTTAAAGCTACTAGTATCATAGTATAAAGAGAGATATAACAGAATTTTTTTCTAAATATTTAGTTTGCTTGAAGGTAAAAAATTAAGTACTTGTGAGAAGATTGTAAAATATTTCAATTCTAAAATGGAAGTGGGAGCACGTTAATATAAATTTTATGACAAAACTACCTAAGAGTACAAAAACATATAATAGAATTTGGATAGTAGTGAATAGACTTAATAAATTTGCTCGTTTCATTCTCGTTAACAAAAAGTATTTCTTCTTGGATAAACTAGCAAGTTTATACATTATGTAGATTATTTGATATCATAGGGTGATGTTTAGTATTATCTCTGATAGAGATTCAAGATTTACCTTCAAGCTTTAAGAAAGTCTACAAAAATTCATGAGCATAAGTTAAAGTTTAGTTTAGCTTTTTATCTACAAATGGATGGTCAATCTAAGAGAATAATATAAACTCTTAAATATATCTTAAGAGCTTATGTCTTAGACTTTGGTAGAAGTTAGGATATGTATTTATATATAATTAAATTTACTTATAATAATAATTATCTCTCTAATATATAAATAGTCCCATTAGAAGCTCTTTATAGGAGAAAGTGCAAGTTACCTATGTACTAGGATGAGGTGAGAGAATGAAAATTTTGGTGACCTCAATTTTTTTACCTCAATTGATTCAAATGGATGTTGATAATGTTTGAACAAATAAAAGACAAAGAGATCTAAAGTTTAAAGTTGATGATCATATATTCTTAAATGTGTTACCAACCAGGAGAGTCATGAAGTTTAGCCAAATGAAAAGTTAGCCCCTAAATTCAGTATCTCATTTGAGATCTTATAGAAGGTTGGACCTATAATGTAGAGATTAGTATTGTCCTTAACTGTAGCTAACATTCATGATGTATTCCACGTCTTTATGCTCCAAAGGTATATAAAGGATCTATCACATGTTATATCTTACTATGCTCTATAATTAAGAGATGATGCCACCTTCATAGAGTAATAAATCCAGATTTTTTTTAAAAAAATATATTTTAAGAAATAAATTTATACCCTTAGTAAAGATATATTGACAATACCATTTATACTAAAAGACAACTTGGGGAAAAAAAAAATAAGTAAGAGAGTATCTTCATCTAGTTTACGAGGTAAGTTAAATTTAAAAATCAAATTTATTTAGGAGAGAAGAAATATAATCAAATCTCTTAATTTAAGCATAATTATTTGATTTTTTTTTTGCTAATAAAATTTAAAAAATAAATATTCAACATTCTAAATTGGATGAAATTATTATTGTCAAAAAATTAAATAAAAATAAAGAATAAATAAATTTAAAAATTTAAAAATTATTATCTTATGTGGAGGGCTCACCTTCTCCTATTTAAGGGGAGGGATTCTTTATTCACCAAGCTAAGTCTAGCAATAAGATGAATGAGAAGTTACATCTTGTTGAGGATAAGTAGGTTTCCTTGTTGTTCAAGAAATTTTTTTTTTTTCTATTCCTTCAAATATTTATAATTTTATTTTAGATTAAAACATATTCACCAAGCTAAGTCTAGCAATAAGATGAATGAGAAGTTACATCTTATTGAGGATAAGTAGGTTTCCTTGTTGTTCAAGA